GTAAATAGTATAAATAATTATCGAAGCTGATTCGTATGAAGTAATTGTAAATCATCTGAGCTGTATTCAATGAAAAAGTTGGAGACCCAAGTATGAGCAGATAATCAGCAGCCAAAATCTGATGGCAATGCGCGCATGAGTATAAGATATCTTCATATATTAAACAGATGAGTAATCTTTATACGCCTGAGTACTTAGCATACTAAGGCGCACTTAACTCTTAGAACTAACTTGTAGTGAACACTATGAGTATTAGAAAAACTTTGCAGGTATTATTAATACTATTGAGTATTTTATGATTAGATAAACGAGCATTTTGCTTATGAATAGTTTTTGAGAAATGTGAATATGAGTGAGTAGAGATGAGAGAGTGCTGCTAAGTACTCTATGACTTATTAAGTAGTCCGAAAATAAGTATTTTTAATAATAATATAAGTAATATGAACAATTGATACATTAAGTGTAATTCGAGCCAACTAATTAACACCCAAATATACTGCAAAGAGTTTTGCTCTATGAATCTGTATGAAGAGTTTTGAGTATTTATATTTTATAGCCAATATTATTAATATATTATTATTATTTTTAAAAGGACAAAGGTTCGACTAGTACAAGCATAGTATTACAAGTTATCTTACTTCTTATGAATATTCACCTTGAATACAGTCAACAGTTGAGCTAAAAGACTATGAGTTTCAATAAAAATAGCATAAATATTGAGCAGCAATTGCTCACAACTCCAACTGGCTCTAGGTAAAGAATCCCAATGAGAGATGCGATATATATATGTTTTGCTTACAGTGACAACTGTGACTCAGGCCTTATACTTAAAAGTAACTTTTCTCTTTCATAGAGCTCTTATTCAAAGCACTCCTGTACGTGCTCATATAGACAATGCGTACAAATCGATCAAAAGTTTGGCTCACTGTAAGCTGTCAACTGTAAACTGTGCTCTACTTAAGGAAGAACAACCTAACACACACACACACACACACGCACACCCTTGGCAAACTTCTATATAAGCTCTCAACTTTTCTTTATTGTCTCGCAAATGTTTCATTGTTTGTTACATATATACATACATGTGTATATGTATGTTAGGGGGGAGCTTGTGTCTGCTATTATATTTAATTTGTCTGACATACGCTTTGTCAATATAGCACCATATTCTTCTTTCTCTCTCTCTGCCCAGCGATCTGTGTATGTGCCTTTTGCCCAAAATTTCAACATGGCCCAAACCGTTGCCAACTTCCTGTGCCCCACACACACGCACACATCGACACAGTGACACGTAAAGCGTTACACAAAGCTGCATTTTATGCATGTTAAAAAAGTTGTCTCTCAGAATTGTGGTTGTTGCCGACATTGTTCCGTCATTTTTCAGCAAATTAGTCATGAATTTGTTTATTTTATTTGCCGCAAACTCCGCTTGCCGCTAATGCGCTCCAAATGACAGGGAAAATGCCCGAAATGGAAAAACGACACCAATTTGTGCCACATAATCCGCAAATTGTGTGAGTGAATTTGAAAGAGAAAATCAATAGAGAGCTATTGCTGTGCTGCCAATCTGACCGAAGGCATCCAAAGCAGACCCAAAGCAGCCGACAAAATGAGCTGCAAATTTAAAGGCGTCAAAAAAAAAAAGGAAAAAAAAGTGGGCGGCAAGCAATTAAAAAGCGGAAATTGAATAAGCCAAAAGCAAAAGCAGCAGCAGCAACACCAACAGCAACAGAAAGGGAAACAAAAAAGTTAAGAACAAGAACAAGTAACTGGGCAAACTCTGCTCGCTGCGTAGCTGGAGGCGCGTTTAAGCCTTTGTCTTGGGCCCATTCACCTGCGAATTGCTTTGGGCCAACACCATTTGCTCAACTCGCCCAGTTTCAGTTTCAGTTACAAAAATTTTGTTTTCTAAGCCCGATCAAAAATAAAAAAGAAAATAAAAAAAAAAAACAAGAAGAAAAAACGTTGAGTCCAAGTCCAAGCACGGGCACAAAGCAAGGCAAAAACTCTAACGAAACGAGGATGTTATGAATATGAATGAGAATTCTGTCTCTCAGTTGTGCTTCTTCTTATATGCTGCATGTACGTGCAATTACCATACGATGAAATGCTGAGAGAATATGCTAAACAAGCTGCATAGACTCTATAAATACGCTAACATTTATATCGCAGAAAATATAGATTTGTATGTATAATTATATATTAATTTAATACAGTAATATATATATTTAAAAATATTTGAAGAAATAAAAAAAAAAAACATTTTAATGCATATATTATTTTTAATAATAATATATATATATATATATATATATATAGACAGATTTTTAAAGAGCATTTTTTTATAAATATTTTTGTTTCGTATTTTAAAATGTTTTTTTTTTTAAATTTTAAATGGAAAAAAATTTGTTCTTTTGCATATTTTTGAAAAATTATCTCATTTTTTCGCTACTTTTGAAGTAATAAAAGACTTGGCTGTACGAATCAATATATATAAATATAAATATATTTTTTTTTAAAATTTTTTTTCCACAATTTCTTTTAGGTCTTCCAAAAGATTCAATTACATACGAAATTAAGCCATTGATGTTCAAGCACGGTAAATCATATCTATAACCAAATATCGATATCAATTCACACACACACACACAGTCATGCCCCGACTGGATGCCCTATCACCTACCAAGTAATGCATGAAAAGGTCAGGTCTGCCAGACTGCCAAAAACAGTAGCTGGCCAAATGCAACCATTTTGCATTGCCAAACCAAAAAATCAAATATTTATTTCTATGCATGCTTTTTGTTTGCCATTTTATTTATTATAGAGACAGCGAGAAAGGGGAAGAGAGAGAGAGAGAGAGTAGCGGAGGCATGCCTCAATTTGCGGCCATTAAAATGCATAAGCTGCAAGCAGATTTTTTGCATTTGACATTTGGTTATTTCGTGCCATAACTAATACGCCGCGTATGCAGCAAGTTTTTTGAAAAGAAAAGATGGGCTACAAGAATTACAGTCTGGACACACACTCGCCCACTCACCACGCCCTCCTCTCTCGCTCTTTATAGAACTACGTCCAGCAGCCCATTAAACATTTATAATTACAAGATGCCAGCTCTGATGTGTGTTTGGCCATAAATGGAGAGAAAGCAACAAAACAATGTTAAAGTATTCAGTGTAAAGTGGCAGAGAGCAGCGGCTGCATTGCGTTAAGCTGCATCAACTTGTAGGAGCAACTGAAACCGAATCAGAATGTGAATCAGAAGCTTTAGCTCCTGCATTTTTTGGCTTGTTTTTGCAGCGGATTTTTTTGCTTTGCATACAATTTGCGAGGCTGCGGACTAAAGGGATTGGGGCTTGGCGTTGGGGAGGTTGTCAGCTTTCGACACACGTTGGGCGCCAGTTGAAAGGTTTTGCCTGCGGCAGAGGCTAAGCACGACGTGAACAAAAAGTGTCTGTCTTAAAGTCACGTCATGTTCGTGTGTTTCATGGGGTTTTTGCCTTGAGCGAGCGAGTGAGTCTGTGGTTGGGCTGGGGTGGGCTGGAGGCGTGAGGATGGGGGTTAACTGTAATGAGACAGCTGCTGCTGCTGCTTCATATGCCGCCCGACTCTGTTAATGTTGTTAGGCAGCAACAGCGGCAGCAGCATAAATAGCATCAGCATCAGCATCAACATCAACAGCAGCAGCATCAGCAGCAGCAGCAACAGCAGCTTCTTTTCAGCTAATGAGAATGGGAGCCGCCATGTGCGGCCCGCGCTGCATGGGCTCACAAAATTTTGTGTGGCTTAATAAGAAGCAAGCCAAAAACTCAAAATAAAAAAGGGAAAAACTGAAAAACATTGAAGGATTTTAATTAAATAGGCTGCTAGGCGCTGGCAAGTTGTAAATTTAACCCAGCCAAAAGTAGATGGGGCTCTTAAAGGCACCCACACACGTACGTACATATATAAAGCAGAATTGTGAGCAGCGAGCAGGAGGAAGAAGAAGAGGCTTTCGTCTTTTTATTGCTAGGATGTATCATGAGCACCTTTATTGTACACATAACTCTTTGAGCCTTTCATTACGTACAGCATATTGAAGATTGTGGAATGCCTAAGAGCTAAGCATGCTACTCCAGAAGGGAATAGAAGAAAAGTAGATTGCAGCTCAGGTGATTTATGTGCGGAAAATCATATTTTTAAAGACTTACAACATTGAGAAATTGTAAAATTAGATATTAAGTAAAATTAAAAAAAATATTGGGAAAGAAATAAATTAAAATTCCATTAAAAATAAATACAATAATCTGAAAAATTAAAAAAAAATTATAAAAAAAATGCTAAAGAAATTTTAATTAAGAAAAAAAGTTTAAAGGGAGTAACAGCTCTTCCATCTAGTCAGCTATAATTATGTATCTAATATTTCCATAATTCAAAAAAATCTTTTAGAATCTTCCATGCCTCGTATTGCAGTCATTAATTATAGCCGAAGAGCTAAATAAGCAAAGAACTCGCAACACAATAGCTTCATTAAAAGCCGAGTTACTTGGTACATTTGACCTTTCCGGCTTAAAAGCGAAGCATACGACGAAGCTCAAGCTGTTGCCTACCAAAGGTCACAGGGCATTCGCCCGCCTGGCGCTTCGGCCGAAGTCTTTCGGCTGTGGAGCCTACGAGCATGCGCAGTGGGGCAGAATATCCAAAATAATCTGTATAAGCAGGTCACTCAATGTGTGTGCGGAAAAAACCGCCAAACGAGACACTAAACGATATCGACTTTTGCTAATAGTTCCGTGCACTTCCATGTTAATCAATCATATTCGAAATATTTATACAATGAGCCAGCCCAGCAGCATATTTTGTATAGAACAAGTTTTCTATAATAAAAAAAACATTGTGATGTTCCCACACACACATACACACGGAAAAAGTTGTGTGTGTATCAATCAGCGCTTAAAAATAAACGTCGCTGCCTCGTGATATCATCTCGAGGCTCTGGCGCTCAACTTCTGAGTTCAGCTTACCTGCTAAGATGGCTGCCAGAAATACAAAAACGATCCGTGACATTTTGTTGTTGTTGCAGATTCTTCTTGTGCTTCTTCTTCTGCTCTTTGCTGCTCCTGTAATCCTTATGTGTGCACTTTTATAAGTATTTTATGTGACTTTTGCCCTGGCAAAGGCGCTTTTTTTATTATTATGATTTTTATGTTTGAGGTTTCTTGTTGTTGTTGTTGTTTTTTGCCTTTTTTCACTCTCGCGTATTTGGCAAAGAGCTTAGTGATTTTTGCCGTTGCTGTTGTTGTTGTGCTTTAGCTTTTCAAGCATTAAATGTGTCGCTTTAGCTGAGCTGAAGCAGAGCACTGAACACTTTATGGCCGCTGCAGGCTTTGTGTGTGTGTGTATGTATGTGTGCATATATTTTATATGTGTTTACTTTTAGCGCGCACTGTCAACGGCACAAATTTGATGACGAAATTTTTGCGGGTTTCTCTGGCACAAAATATTATTTTTTTTCTATATATGTATTTGATTTTATATGCAATTGCCAATTGGCACAACTAACGCGACAGAACGCAAGTCCGGCTGACTAGTTGGCCAAGACGCAGATACGGGCACAGATACAGATACAGCGACTGCTATAGCGATAGCGACAGCGACAGCAACAGCTCCTACAGATACACACGCACAGCGCACGCTACCAAAACGAAATGACGTTATGAATTTGATGACGTTGAGCGTGGAACGTTAAGTATTCGGCTTTACCGGTAAAATATATACACGCACACGCACTACACACCAATACGCGCGTCTGTTCTCTGTGTGTGTGTGTGTGTGTGGGTGAAACGACGAAATCGAACGAACCGACGTGCCGAGTCAAGCCAAACAAAATAAACGAACGTGCGAAACGAAACGAACACGAGTCGCACAGCGCACACGAACGAAATGGCGTTTCGAATGTTTAAATGGGAATTCGGCTGGAGAGCGAACGAAGCGTTGAATGCAACAGTTACCAACAGACTGAGTGTATCTGTTTCCATGAAGTTGCCAAACGGCCACGCAGCGGCAGCAGCAACAACACACACACACACATGCACGTACACGACGCCGCGTTGATTGCACACATATGCAGCGCTCATACACACGCATATGCAGGCAGCGCAGCGCAACCCAGCAACATATTTCGTGTGCGCTTGGCAACATGCGCACCAAGCTAGCAACATTTGCTGATGTTGCTAAGCCCATAGCATGTTGTTGCTGCGTGTCGTGTTCCACTTTTGCTGCGGCATCGACTGTGGCATCTTTTGTCCGTTTGATTTGAATTTGTTTGTCTCTTGTGCATTGTCAAACACACACACACTCGCACACTCGCACACACACCTAAATCAATTATGAACTGCAATCGAAATATGCATATTGCATGACAAGTTCTCTGCGGGCATCTGTGGCGCCACCGAGTTATTTATTGTGGCACATAACATATTCATTTTTCCCAGTGCCACCGCCATCCACACCGTGCAACGCACGTGGCCAATAACATTAGCAACCTTTTAAATTTAATCGAAGCTTCTATTTTTTCAACAAAACGCGCGCGCTTTGAATGCCCTTTGGCCATATTTTTGCATACGCTTAACCAAAACCAAGGCATTGGCAAAAATATATACCCTGTAGAGCGGCAAGTGAGAGTATATATTCAATTTGTATGTAGCTTGTCAGAGAGTTTTTGACTTATTTAAAGATTGGCTTATTCTAAATGAGCTTTGGGAAATGATTGAATTTTTTGCTGTTTACAGGGTATACAGGGCTTTTGCTTGATTGATTGGGAACGAAGATTTGTCTTAATTTATATGGAGCTGTTTGAATTTACTATTTATTATTATTTTTTTTTAATTTTTTCCTATGCTCGAATTTGTTATTTCTTGTAAAAATAAATAAATAAAAATATATAAAATAAAGAAAACAAAATTTATGAACTAATTTTAAAAGTATTCAAATGCTAAAGAGAAGAGAGATAGGAAATAGAAGATATTATAAAATATCATTGAAAGCTGAATCTTGTCAAGAAAGCTATATAGAAATCAATAGATCAGCTGAAAAATCTTGTATTCAACTATTTTTTAAAAATTCTTTTAAATTAATTTTACAAATTTTTATCAATAAAAATGTCAATCGAGTCTGATTTAATCTCAACAAATGTCCAAAATTCGAGCAAGGCAATAAAACTTACCTTTTATATACATATTCAATGTTCATTATGAATACAGGGAATCTGCTAGTCGTTCAATTGCAGCTGCAGTTTGCTGCTGCTTTTTTTGTTGTCGATGCTTGTGCATTTTGCATGCAATAAAAATATCGCATGCTGTAAAGAATGTGAGCAGTGTGCAGTGCACTGGAAATTGTAAATTCATGTTATGGCCAGGCGACGGGACTATGGAAATGTGCGAGTGAAATGGGCAGAGAGCAGAGGGCAGAGGGCAGAGGGAGGAAGGGAGGGAGCTGTGTAAGGGGAGGGGATGGCAAAGCCTAGGGTATGTTGTTGTTGTGGGGGGTTCGTCACTTGGGCGAAGGCGTCGCTGCAAAATGTAGTCCAGTTACTTGGGGCAATTGAAAGAGGTAGAGAGAGCAGAAGAGAGGGGGCAGAGAGCAAGGGAAAGCTAGTGGCAGCATGTGTTTATTGCCAGCCAGAAAATGATGATTACACGTAATGTGTAAATGAAGGAGGGACTGAGGCTGGACTAAGAAGAGGAGCTAACGCTGAGGCGTGCAAAGGCCCGGAAAAGCAGCCGGAAAAAGCAGCGGCAAGCAGCAAGGCAAAAGCTAACAGGCGTTGGCAGCCAATGGACAGCTGCAGCCAGTGGCATATGCAAGCAGCTTCTGCAGTTCAATTTTGCGTGTGTGGCAGTGGCAGCAGCAGCAGCAGCAGCAGCAGAACAAGCTGATGATGAAGAAGAAGCAACAGCCACAAGGCAGTCCGCCTGGCGACAGAACGAGCATCTGCCGTGGCCAGCAAACAGCTAGCAAATAAATATATATATATATATATAGAAAAACAATGTCGGCTGGCTGAATAGAGGCGGCGAAACAGCAACTGAAGCAGAGGATACAAAGCAGTTCACGTTGTAGTTATTGTAATTGCAAGTGTTTTGCAGCTTGCCAAGGAATTCAGGGGATTTGCAGCCACAGCTAAAAGCCATCTCAAAAGCAGAGGAAAAAGCCAGCTAAATAAGCCAGAGCATTCCTTGAGCTTAACCAAAAGAGTTTTCAACCTTTATTTGTTACATACAAATATCTTTTTACTTAATTACTTGCTCTCTCTCTCTCTCTCTCTCTCTCTCTCTTTCTTTTATATTAATTAAGCAAAAGATTCGCAGCTGTAAACAAGCAAAGAAAAAATGCTTGCTCACAGATCTCTATGGCATTTGGCTTTTGTACACATCTAAGAATTTCACCCAAAAACTGTCAAAGCTAAAAGTTTTTATATTATTCTCTTTTATGCTCATTGTGTATGGACGTAGAGGGTATAATGATTATGTGCACATTGATGTAGGAATTTATTATATTATTATTTTATTTATCTTCATACATATAAAATATATTTTGTCTGGCTGCTTCTCTGTCTATTTCCTTGTCGAGTTCTTAATATGGAGCAGCAGCAAAGTTTTGACTTTGATTAGGCTTGGTTATGCTATCATTTAATCTTTTCATAGATCCTTTTTATAATAAAAATCTGATATTTCCTCTTAGTTTTCATAGCATCGCTTGAAGAGCTTCAAATCAAGCGAAATTAAGTTCAGAATATAAACTAATGTCAGCCAATTTTGAATATCTTTTGCCATTTCCCCAGAGATTTTATTTTGTATATCTAAGAAGCAACAAGATGATTTGTTTCTAAGAAGATAGAAGCAAATAATTTCTAAATTCCCGCATGATTATGCCTATATTCTGATGCCTCTAGACTCTACTCTGATGTCCAAATTTTCAGTAACTTTTTTTATAAATTTTCTATAAATATTTATTTTAGTATTAAGCTGAGACTTGGAGCAGCCAATTTTATTTTATTTGAAGAAGAATTCATGAAAGTTTAATGGCTAAATATTGCAATCAATCAAATCAATTGAATTACTTAGATAGTTTTCGAGATGAACAAAGTATAAAGGGTGATCGCCTGATGCCTAGCTGTGCATATTTATTATTATTATTTAGTACATATATTTTATATTATTATGATATGGTTCTTATATAATTAATTCATATCACCTACTAGAACATAAACATCTACTTATAATTTTTAAAATTTATTTTTGCTTTTTCCTTGTATCACTTTTGGCATATGAGCCTCAGTTCTGTGGGCAACTGGTATTTGGCTTATGCTTCATAGATCTATGACTTCAGTCCTTAATCTTTCAGTGACTCTTCCTAAAATCATCAACGTTTGCCTCAACTCAAATGCTAACTTCTTCAGTCAATTCAATCTGAAGTCTCAGATCTATTGCTGTTTCAATTGAGCTGCAACTGTCAACTGCAACTCCTCATGACATAGATAAACAAACATATATATGTATATATATATAGAGTGAGAGAGAGAGAGGAGCTGTTTGGTCATATGCATTTTATGCTAAACCGAATATGGCATCCAATCATGTCACGCCCCTGCCGGCAATGTCAACGCCCACACAGAAAAGCCCAAGTCAAACTCATTATAATTTCATAGCAAGTCATTTCCATAGTGTTTTTCGATAGCATATGACAGAGAGAGAGAGAGACAGAGAGGGAGAGTGAAAGAGAGCAAAGATAAAAACAATAACCTGCAACATAATGAAATGAAAATCGCCTAGGCAGCTGGCAAGCGACTACTAGAAGCGACTGCTACAACTATATTAAGTTACCAGAACATGCAAATTTGGCCAAAATGAGGCAGGAGGGGCGTGGCGCGTTAAGCTGACTGTGGATGCGAGGAGATGCAAGCAGCAGCAAGACCTTGCATTGCAATTGAGTTACAGTTTTCAGTTTACAGTTTTCAGTTTTGTGTGTTTGCGATTATTACTGCAAGCCAAGAGGGGGCGTGGGGCGTGGCACTAGAGGGCCGGCGTGTGCCTCGCTCATATTGTGCAAAACAATGAATTTACATGGATTTTTACTAAAACATATTTTTTTTCTTTTCTAAGTGGGGGGTTGGGGGACTACATATATGTATATTGGACTGCGTTTGGTCTCTGCAACTGCAATGACTTTTAGGCCGTGGGCGCTGCGTTGGCAGCAGATTAAACTTCGCTTGTAATGAGAATTTTTTAACAGTTCAAGTTGTTGCAGCTGCTGCTGCTGCTGTTGCTGCTGCTGCTGCTGTTGCTGCTGCTGCTGCTGTGTGGGTGTGTAGCTGCTGCAGGCGGCTCTTGTTGCAGTTGCTGCAATTGTTGCAGCTGCTGTTGTTGTTGTTGCAATTGTTGCAGCTAGAATTGTAACCCGCAACGTCAGCACGTGCAACGCATCAGCGAATGCTTTTTTTATTTCGAGTCTTTTTTCTGGTTTGCGTGTGCCCAAGGGCGGCAGAGGTGGGCGTGGCACGCGTTTATCACAACCAAAAACGTCATTAGTAAGCGGCAGATGAAAAAAACTTAGATGAGCGCATTTGAAAGTCAATTGAAGATGAACTAGACGGGTCATAAAAATACCCTGCAATAGGCAAAGGAAACAGGGAAGTGTGAGCTAGTGGGGAGTGCACGACTGCCAGATACCCAACTGAGCTTCTCGCACAGCTGCTAAATAGGGAAATTCAAGTGCGTATCCTAAGTCCTCCTCAAGTTAAGCTAGAATAACAAAAATATCAAAATATCGATAATTATCGATAGTCAGAAAATGGGCTGACTTATCGAAAAAATAACTGATGAACCCAAGCTGCGTATGCAGAAATATGCACTTAAATTGCACGTCTCTAGCTGGACACAAACGATCTACCCCATATGCATGTGTCAACTACAGGGTATACTTGCTGTTAAAACTAGTGTAGGGCG